CCCAATATCGACCAACACTTCGAATGTAGGATGGTAGGAGTCTTCAGGTATAGGGCTCGGGTTAGTAACGCTACGGTCGGATCCGAGACAAAGCACAGATCAAGCAATCGACCCAAGTCATGTCATGACATGGGCTCAAGATTATTAGACTCGTTTACCGAAGACCAAACAGTACCTTGCAAATTGAAATCACCAAGAACTATCATATGGTCTTTATCTGATAGCGAGAAAGAAACAGTTTTTAAAGCGGACAGGTGATGCTCGTATATTAAGATATCCGAGGAAGGTGGAATATACGAGCAAGTAATGAAAATGGAAAAGCCTGGGAGAATCAGTTTTACGCACAGGAATTCCAGGTCTTGTTGAACTTGGACCATAATATGTTCCGACGTGAAGTTTGAGTCCACTGCAATGAGGGCCCCACCTCCACGTCGAGACGAACGGTCATTTCTAAAAATTATGTTCCAACTTGCCAAAACTTCGGAACTATCCGGAAGTATCCGGTGATCCTGGACATCTTTTAGCTGGTGGGAATAAAACTGATGGGATAGTGGGGAGTTGGGTGCGGACTCGACGGACACGGACGCTACAGACATGTCCACCTGCATACTCTCCGAAGTGACGCATTCGCCTCCCGAATCTGCATCACCAGCAGCGATCGTTGCCCTTGGAGTAGCAAACGTAATCAACTGCTGCACTAAGGGTCGGAGTAAGTTTTTCGGCTGCCGGCGGACATGAGGCAGTTGGCACTTGCAAGTCCCGCGGAGTACACTTCTTGCGCCTCGGAGACTGAAATGAGTGTCCATGGCCAAAAGCCGATAATATTGCTGTTTAAAGCCTACAATCAGTTCTTTGAAGCCTTTCCGCGTCTGCCTCATGAACAAACGCATTTCGTTTTCCACAGCACGGCATTCCTCACAACTATAATGCAGGCCGTTATTTTGGGAAATGGCATCTCCTACACAACCCGAGATCCCTACACATTTTGAGTGCACTTCGCTTTCAAAGACAGCAAGGGATATTGGGCTGGTCATGGGTGATCTGCTTTATGCAGGTTTTTTTGGCGCAGACGACAGCAAATTCTATAATGATGTCTTTTATTTTTTTTTATGTCGAGAAAAAAACTTCAAAACAAATAGCAATCAGACCAATGTGCAGAGCAAATGCTCAGAGCGAGGCTTAAAGCGAAATCGGTAAAGATAAGATGAGAGAGGAGAGTGGTTGCAGCAACAGCTTATAAGTGAGAGCGTTGCTGCACAGAAAGTTACAAGAGCGTGAGAGAAAGAACAGTTATTGAGAGTAAGGTGATAGAGAGAGAGAGTGATAGACGGCAAAAGCTACGACAAAGAACGGCTAAATGTAATGAGAGGGCGTACTTACGAAAAGCAACAACACAAACACACAACTAACCGACGCACAAAATTAATCAAATAAGTTGTATTCTAACACAATTATTAGGCATGCACCCGCGGTACAGATTAATTTTAATGTTAGTTAGTAGGAGAGTTAATTTAAAGATAAAAAAAAAGATAGAAACACTGGCTGTTTAAGCAAAATAAAAAGAAAATTTGGAGCGCAAAACAAAAACACGTCTGGTCACTACGAAAGAGAATTCAAGGCGAGCTACCGCTAGTACTAGACAAATCGGCAGATCCGAACACCCAGGAAATGCACGCAGCTGTCAAAGAGGCGCTACTGAAACGGTTATCCTTGAGGTAAAGGAATAGATGAGGTGTCCAATGAGGAGTGCTAGGTGATCTCCAAGAGCATGCAGGGGCTAAAAGTTAGTGGGTCTGCAGCCATTGCCATCAGACCAGCCTATAAGAGCACCCACACACTGACGCTGAGTGGAGAAACTACTAGGAAAAGGAAGAATCGCTTAAAATGGGGGTATTGCAAAATACGACTGAAAACAACTCCAAGAAAATGCATGGAGTTCAGGCATACCACGCTGAATCGCAGAGTGCCAGGACTGAGCAGGAGCGGATCTACTGGCCAAAGACTGCAAAGTTCAGCCAACTTGCAAGAGCCACCGGGTGAAGGACACAAAACGAGGAGTTCGAGGTGCCCGCAGTATCGAAAGGCGATGCAGCAGATAAAGAATAGATAAAAATCATTTAAATAAATCTCAAACACTGTGAAATGGGCCAGCAAATACTGGAGCAAACCATCCGAGAACACCGTAGCCGTCATAAGCAAGCAATACCGCAATCGCAACTCCGAAAAGTGAATGCTGGAGCACGTAGCTCGGTCGTAGGCAAGCCGGTCGGGTAAAAGATCCCCACGCTAGAGCCGAATATGGTACGATCCATGTTTGAGAAATATGATAATGCTGGCAGCATGTGACGCCTTAATGCTTAAGAAAAGGCTAAGTCCAGGCAAAGGTAGACCAACATACGGAAGGAATGCTGCTATAGCAGAGCACGAGACCAGAGTTGTCGTAAGGCAACGCGAAATATGGCAATGGCAATGTTCTTGGGCCAAAACAGGAAAGGTCGTTGGACCCATAGGCTAATCCCTGACCTGCAGAGCTGGTGGGGTACACCTTAACTAATTGCTGACAGGACATGGATGCTTTAAATCCAACCTGCATAGGTTTAAGTATGAGGATGACCGCTATTATGAGCACTGCACGGGGGTCACCCGCGGAGCATTGTTTCTTCGAATGTCCAAGACTACAGCAAGATCGGGAAGTCCTTAGCAATAAGCTTGGAAGGCAGACCGTGGCAGACCTTGCACAATGCCTACTGATGTCATAAGAAATGAAGGCTGCGATAAGAAACATGGCCTCAGAAGTGATTACCATGCTGCGTCGCGATAGAATGGTACGCAATGCAAAGAGGTAGAGATCGCTAAAAATGGATTAATTTGGACGTACAGGATCAGTTGAGTCACTCGTGACTAGTGCAGATACGGCGCTGAACTCCCGACCCCATTAGTGCGATAGTAAAGCCTTGCATAGCCTCCCTGCTTGCATAGACACTCATGGGATCAGAACGCGACTGTACAACGGACAAGGACAATGGCTTATTAATTGAGACCCAATGAAATGAGCACATCGGACTACTCATTAAAACCCATTATAACCCATTATGAAGAATGCAGATGGCTTCACCAAGAGCAGAAAAATGGCGAGAACCCCAACTGACGAGCGGACTTACGCACCTCCATCTGCACGCACAGCTACACAGCACTGCGCGACCTCGGACAAGAAATCACGCAGCTGGTGGAGACGGTCGATGATATGCGGGACGCGATCGATCGAGGATGGTAACCATCCAGCTACACGATAAAGGAGCCAAGGCGGTGATCAGGACTCACCGGTCTTCTCAGACCTCCCCGTTTCCCCGAATAAAAAAGCGGAAACAGGCTGCAGGTGGGTCAAGACCTCGGACGAAGAGGATTAAGGCAATGGTTGATGCACAGACCACACCAGGCGTAGCAGTCGGAAACGACGCCCCCACCGAAACGGAGAACAAAACCCTTTAGACCCAATTCCAGACCATGTCCATCGGACGCAGAAGGAAGAGGACGGAAAAGCAGACTGGAACGCTCGCAGTAAGGATGCCGCCGGATGCCATCACCAACAGCGAATACAGCTACGCTGAAGTACTTCGTAAGGTGAAGACTGATGAATCTATTCACGGACTTGGAGATGCGATCATCAGGATCAGGACCCCCAAAAAGGAAAGCCCTTGCTGCAGCTACGCAAATCGGGACAGGAGACGGAGACTTTCAAGAGTCAAGTTTTCGATACGCTGGGAGAGCAAACGAAGGTCCGGAGTCTTTCGCTTTGGGTGAGTCTCGAGTGCGTCTTGACGAGATCGTTACCTGGGAGGATATTGTTGAAGCACTGAGGTAAGCCTTACGGAGCTCACTAGAGGAGGACAACCAGCTGCGGAAGGCATACGGATGAACCCAGACGGCCACAATTAGGCTACCAGCGGAGAGCGCCCAGAAGGCTCTAAAGTTAGGAGTGCTGAGGGAAGGCTCGGCTATTTGCACACTGCGTAAGTGTTTAAGTGTAATCAAATGTTTCAGATGTCTAAAATTCTGACAAATGGCACGGCAGTGAAGGAGTGAGGTCGATCGATCGAAGCTGTGCAGGAGATACGGAAAGGAGGACCACCTTCCTCTATAAGCAACTTGGAAGCACGTTGCCAGCAGCGGGAGACGTCCCTGCTTAGCAGAGCCCTGTCCAAAATAACATAATGAGATTAACTCAGCTGCACTTAAACTTCTGCGAAACCACTTGAAGCACTGCGGCCGTGGGTCACGGCCTCTAATGGACGGTGGACCCACAGGTAAGTTCCAGAAATCGAGGAATGGACAGGGCGAAGAAGTGGAGAGCTGAATTACCATCTCCACCTATTTCTGACGACCCACGGAGGCTACAGGAAGTAACTACATAGCTTCAAGCACGTGGGAACTCCCGAGTGTCCTGTGCTCGAATACGAGCTAGGATCCGGAGCATGTGAACTACCACTGCAATCGGTACCGCTCAATAACATGGTTCGTCCGCGCGTTTGCAACACCATAATGGGAATCCAGAGCGACCTGAGAAGATGTGAAAGGGAGCGACGCTTGTCGGAGAGTGCATGTCGGTGATTCTGCGGGACTGAGGTGTGTAGCTGTGAGTGGTGATTTTAACTGAAAAGCTCCGGAGGGGAGTCAAGTTCGTTGACTGGTACGTCTCTTATAGATTCTCAAACAACATGGCGTATCCATTGACAAAAAAACACACATACTTTTTCTTCTTTTAAAAGGTTTTCACATCAAAGTTAAAGAAAAATGTACGTCAATATTAATTAAATTATTTAAATTATTATTTAAATTTCAATAAGTTTAAATAATAATATCGCGACCGAACTATTTGGAAACTATTTTTATTTACATTTAACATGTTTTGATCTGAAAGAAATGCCCATAATTTATAATTAATGCCCTTAATTTATCATTATGAATTTATTTGATGTGTTTCGCTTGAAACGATTCCGTACCTTCGAGGGGCTGACTTCACGCGTTGATATTCCCATCTTCTCGTGATGGCGCAACTGAACAGGATATATTATTTGGTAGTAATGACCACCGATGCGACGAACCAACTCTTGATTTTGTCTGTATTCCTTAAGTAACCGTTCCACTTCGCCTGAAATATAATAAATAAGAAAAGATGAAGCCAAACATTTTTAGTTAATTACTTAAGCTAGCTAAATTTTAGCGTACTCATTGTTACTTATACCGTCGGTAGTGACAAACAATTATTAAGCTTCGCCTCAGATTAACTTTCATAGTATTACAGGGTGTGAAGTGTAAGATACCTTATTTCAGATTGGGATATGCATCAGCCTGTCCAGGGTTCCTCTACAAGAAATTTTTAGATTTTCTGGAACTTAAGGTTCGGGGCTGGCCTTGTATAACCGTAAGAGTGGTAGGCAAGGTGGAAAATTATATGATTCAAGAACTTCTGTTGGTGCTTTTTTTTGGGTTTTGTTGATTACACTACTCGACACAAGTTTTCCTCAAGGAACAAAACCAACTTTTTCTTAAAGGCTAAGGGCTTAGAAATGGTTTGATAATAATTTTTTTTATTCTATGGCAGAACTTTTTTTTTAAGAATTTTTGAAATCTGTTATTTTTAAAGCTTTATTCAGAGGTAGCGCTTCTTGTTTTCTCGTAACTCTAGTATTCTACGTCTGGTTGTAAAGAACTTTGTTATTTTGAAAAGATAACACTGTGAGGTCCTGTCTCAGACTGAGGTATGCATCAGTCTGTCCAGGGTCCGCTACAAGAAAATTTGTAGATCGCAGGTGACTTCAGGTGTCGGGCTGGCTTGAAATGTAGTAGGCAAGGGAGAAATGATGACGCGAAAGTTTTGTTTTGTTTGTTTCTTGGTTTATTCAGTACTTTTCATTCACTTAGTTATATGCGCTGTTGCCCTTGCTTTTGGCTGTGTGGTGCGCTGGTGGACACAAAAATCAAAGCTTTTGTCTAAAAAAATTTAGTTAAACATATTTAAAATGAGATAAAATATATTTAATTCCAATCGGTAGTCCAAAAAGAAAGTTATAAGTATTATAAGTTATAAGTATGTACTTTGAACTAATCATTTTCTTTTATTTTCTTTTATAAGATTTTCTTAAATTAGAATTATTTTGTTTAGAGATTAAATGTACATAGAAAGCTACTTTAATATTATTTTGCATAAAGCTAATAAAAGCCCAAAAGCTTAAAACCTAGTTTTTTTCTTAATAATGTAACTGTTAGCTTTGCAAAACCAAACGAAATTTTTGAAAACCGCTGAATGAGGAGTAAAGATATGACTGTTGGAACTTTTGTAGATTGAAAAAATTAAATAATTCTTTTAATACCTGTAACTTAAAAACACGATCTGAAAAAAAATGGCGATCATATTTGATATCAGATATCAAATTAGTAAAAAAACTTCAATCAGTTTTCAATCAACACACAAAAAGTTCAATTTTGTTCCCTTGTGTAATTAAAACAGCTATGTGATTGTAGCTTACCTTCTGGGAAATATAAAGCATTTAAATGCAAAAATTATGATTTTTTTGCGGGCCCAACTGCTAATTGGGAAAAAAAGCAAACGAAAAAGGGTTTTTCATTTGGTACCTGATCGCGATCCCAATTTCCAATTGGCAGTTGGGCCCGCAAACTTCGAAAAGGTATTTTCTGTCCATTTTTTTCATTTTTTAGGTTTGTTTAACGAATTTTATCTTCACCGTCTCTCCATAGATTTTAATAAACAAACCCTTAAACGACGCCTAATAATATTTTTTTTTCCGACTTTTCCTGAGTTTTTAAAGTCAAAATTTCGTAAGAAAGAGAAAGAAAGAAATTTGCTAGACGGTAAGCTAAAATCACAAAGTGTTGGGGCTTACCATTTAACTGTTTTAATTATCTTTTCAAAATAGCAAAGTTCTTTACAACCAGACGTAAGATACTAGAGTTATGTGAAAAAAACAAGCGCTACCTCTGAAAAAAGCTTTACAAAAAATACGAGAATTACAAAATTCCTCAAAAAAAAATTTTTGCTATAGATATAAACCACAATTCTTTAAAATAATTTAAAGTCCCATATCTATCAGAAAAAGTTGGCTTGGATCCTCAAGGAAAAATAAAGTTGGATTTTGTCGAGTAGTGCTATTAATTCTTTTATTCGCTTGTCTGGTGTGTTTACAATTTAGAACCGGCTAGTGTTGCTACTTGGTTTAGTTTTTTTGTAAGAATATTTTAAAATCTGGTATTTTTTTAATGTTTTTTTTCAGAGGTAGTTCCTTTATTTTTCACATAGCTTAAGTATCTTATATCTGGTTGCATAGACATTTTCAGTTCTGAAAAGCTGACAAATGCAGCTATAAGTCCGACCCAGACACTTTGTATCTGCAGCTCGACGCCTGGAAGCTTACAAATTTCATAATTTTTTGCGGTATTTTTCCCCGAAATTTTGACTTTAAAAACTCGGGAAAAGTCGAATAAATTCTTGGCATGCATTTTTAGTTTTAGATAGACGCATTAATTAGGCGTCGTTTAAGGTATTGTTCATTGAAATCTATGGATAAACGGTGGAGCTAAAATTCTTTAACCAAACCTCAAAAATGAAATAATAGACAAAAAATACTTTTTGGAAGGTTGCAGGCCCAGCTGCCAACTATTTTTTTTTCGACTTTTCCCAGTTTTTAAAGTCGAAATTTCGAAAAAAAAATACCGCAACAAATTATCAAATTTTAATTTGAAAGCTTAATATCTTCCAGGCGTCACCCTGCACGCTGCGGATTTATAGCTGCAGCTGTCAGCTTTTCAGAACTGCAAAGTTCTATGCTACTTAATATAAGATACTTAAGTTATGTGAAAACTTGCAAGTGCCGACTGCCTCATGTCCGCCGGCATCCGAAAAACTTACTCGACCACTCCCTTAGTGCAGCAGTTGATTACGTTTGCTACTCCAAGGGCAACGATCGCTGCTGGTGATGCAGATTCGGGAGCCGAATGCGTCACTTCGGAGAGTAAGTTAGAAATGTCTGTAGAGTCCGTGTCCGTCGAGTCCGCACCCAACCCCTTAACTATCCCCCTCAGTTTTGCTCCCCACCAGCTAATAGATGTCCAGGACCACCGGATACTGCCATCACAGGTACTAGGCCTGTGGTGCCAAAACCACTGGTGGGAGTCCCACCAAAGCGACAAGTTTTTGTCTCGCGGCTAGCCCCTGACCTCACATCCAATGATGTGACCGCTTTTATACAAAGCAAAATAAAAGCCGTCGGCTTAAAGGTGGAAAAATTTAACTTTTCTTACGCCAGGGAGATATCTTCCTTCAAGATAAGCGTCTCCCCAACTCAATTTGAAACCATTTGTTCCGCCAAGTTTTGGCCAGAGCATTTGGTGGTTAAAGAGTTTAAGGCTAAGAAAAAGAATAGGCCCCCCATTACTCTTCCTAGCATTCAGACCAGTGCTCCATCTCTATCCTCATCTTCCACCTCTACTTCCACCCATCCAAAAAACTAACTTCCTCTCTTGTAGTTACCTACCAGAATGCTAGAGGCTTGCGTAGTAAGCTCAGCACTCTTTTCCTTGAGAGTCTCGCATTCTTATCCCACGTTATTGTGTTCACCGAGACCTGGTTAAAGCCGGACATCCTTAGTTCCGAAGTTTTGGCAGGTCGGTACACAATTTTTAGAAATGACCGTTCGTCTCGACGTGGAGGTGGGGTCCTTATTGCAGTGGACTCAAATTTCACGTCGGAACATTTCATGGTCCAGGTTCAACAAGACCTGGAATTCCTGTGCGTAAAACTGATTCTCCCAGGCTTTTCCATTTTCATTACTTGCTCGTATATTCCACCTTCCTCGGATATCTTAATATACGAGCATCACCTGACCGCTTTAAAAACTGTTTCTTCCTCGCTATCAGATAAAGACCATATGATAGTTCTTGGTGATTTTAATTTGCCAGGTGCTGTTTGGTCTTCGGTAAACGAGTCTAATAACCTTGTGCCCATGTCACGACATGACCTTATCGACGGCTTGCTAGACCTATCCCTGTCTCAAGTCAACCATGTAAAAAATTCCTTGGGTCGATTGCTTGATCTGTGCTTTGTCTCGGATCCGACCATAGCGTTGTTAACCCGAGCCCTTCCGCTCAGTATACCTGAAGACTCCTACCATCCTACATTCGAAGTGTCAGTCGATATTGGCCCTACTGTATTGGATCGAATGAGTAGGCTATCCGAACGTGTCCGCTGCTTTCGTAAAGCCGAGTTTACGAAGCTTAATAACCTTATTAGGGATTTTGATTGGTCCGCTCTGTACTTGTGCACTGACGTTATGAAAGGCACACACATTTTTTACAATGTACTTGACACATTTTTTGATTCTTGTGTCCCACTTTCTTGTCCGGTTAGATCTGGAAAACCTCCTTGGTTTACCAAGGAGTTATCCAGTCTAAAAAATTTAAAATCAAGACTTTATAAAAAATTTCGAGAAGTTGGTTCTCCCTCTTCTCTTTCTCACTATGTAATAGCTCGGTCAAATTTCTCCGTTCTTAACGCACAATGCTATAAGAACTACCTATCTCGATGCAGGATACGATTTTCACAGGACCCTAAACAGTTTTACAGCTTCGTAAATAGTAAGCGTAGAACGTCCGTACATCCATCCTCGTTATCTTTTCTCAATATGTCAGCAAACAATGATCAGGCAATTGCCGATCTTTTTGCCAAATTTTTCCAAACAACCTATTCTCATGAAAGCTACTTTGGTCAGCCGTATCCATACAGTTTACCAAGGTCGAATGGCATCTTCAGCCCCTTGTTAAATGAAAGCTCACTGCTTCATGATCTTCGACTAGTTAAGCCGGTGTTTTCACCAGGTCCCGACGGAGTTCCCGGCTGTGTACTCAGGTACTGTTCCGACGCTCTGTGTGGACCCTTGCTTAAACTATTCACCCTATCTATTAACTCTTCATGCTTCCCCCCATCTGGAAGGAATCTTTTATTATTCCGCTCCATAAGAAAGGTAGCAAGTCTGATGCAAATAATTATAGGGGTATATCTAAGTTATCCGCTATTCCTAAAATGTTTGAAAAAATTTTAACTCCGCACTTGCAACATCTCTGCAAATCACTTATATC